GTAAATCTCCCCAGGTAGGCTCTAGCTATCTTGGCCATATGGCAAGGAAGCATTTGAATATTTTATCTAATGCCAACAATATCCCAGGATGTAATGTATTTCCCCCGCCTCATGACTGAACTCAGAGAAGCAGAGAAGCCCCTTTAACAGATAGGGACTGAAGTTCAATGTAGCTTGCCTAAGCTAACCCAGCCAATTTGTTCTGATTCTATGCTGCCCTGATATCTCATTCACCAAAGGTATTCAAGAAACACTAGCAGAGTCTTAAGAAAACCATATGCTTGTGATGGACATTGGGCCTGACCTTTTCCTTAGCTGAAATCAACTGGGTCTATCAAGAACGCTCTAGAACAGCAACCTCTCCTTGGAGATAGCGTGAGACTCCAAAGCCGAGTCCACCAAACTCCCTAACCTACTCAGACTATTCTGACTTAATGTCTTCTGGCTGCAGACAGATGAGAATAGCGTCACTCCCGTGCAAAGCAGCTAGGGTGTACGGTGGCATCATTTCTTGGAAAGCTACCACCGCTGATACACTGCAGGCATGTAGGTGGGAATGGCACGGAGTGTGAGAACATATTGGCACTGTCTATTTAAAACAGAAAGAACATTAGAAAGACAGGAAACCAGTAACCCCAGCCTTGTTCAACTAAAAACACTGCCCAGTTGCTCACGGGGAACTTCAGTTTGCTTCATCAGGAGGGGAAGTCGCTTTTGGGGGCTCAGAGTCATTGCCTAGCCAACTCCCTATCTAATCCGGTATACGATATGACAAGGGCTGTGACCCAAACACACACACACACACACACACACACACACACACACAATGGGGAGATAGAGAACAAACCATAGCCATGCCTCTAAAATATCTTCCTGTTGACAAGCCCATCGGTGAAATGTTGACCTAGAGGTTAAACTGATTCTAGGCTTCCTGGCTCCCGGGCATCACCACTTACTCTGGGCAAAAGACTTACGCTCTGTGTTTACTTCCTCCTGTGTAAAATGGGGAGAAGATAAACTATCTAATCATTTTTTAATTGACTGAATGGGATAAATAAGGTAAACCGGAGCAGTGCTTGACATATAATAAACACTGAGAAGCTGGAGAGATTGGTTCAGTGATAAGATCACTGGCCACTCTTTCAAAGGACTGAGGTTCTATTCCTGGCACAACTGTTCATAGTGGCCCACTGTCCAAAGTTCTGCTCATGGAGAATCTCAGACTCTTCTGGCCTCTCTCAGCACCATACAAATGTGGTACACAGATGTACATGCCCACTACACACTCATGCACATAAAATAAACATAGTTGCTTACTGCCTTTAAACCCAAATCATAAATATAAGCAGAGCTTTAGGTTTCTTGCATCACTATTTATAATAATAAAATATTGAAAAAGAAACCTAAAAATTCTAAAACTAGCAAATGTTTTACTTCTGGAAAAATGATAGAGCCACTGAAAATTCTGGCTCTGTTGCTCAGCATGCCTGAGATCTCTGCTTACAATCAATCCTAGCATGGTACCAGAAAGAGAAGATTATTTTGCCTTCTAAAATGATGTTAGGCGTCTAGTGTGTGTGTTTGTGTGTGTGTGTGTGTGTGTGTGTGTGTTGAACATATGCTACAACACACACATGGAGGTCAGAGGAGAATTTTGGGAAGCTGGGTTACTACTTGCATTATATAGGTCTTAGCAATGGAACTCAGGTGGCAGCAAATGCTGAGCTATCTTACAAGCTGAGAGCTATAGAATATTTTTAAACCCTGTATGGCAAGGAAGTGTGGAACATGCAGTACCATATAAACATTTTTAAAGGATTTGTTCTTATTACTATGTTTAATTCTATGTATATGTATCTATGTCTGTGGCCCATGAATAAAGGTGCCTGCAGAGGCCGAAGGCATTGAGTTCCCCTGGAGCTGGAGTTACAGGGCTCTGCAAAAGCCATATGTGCTCTTAAACACTGAGCCATCTCTCCAGCCCCTACAACTCTGATGTATGTGGTAGGCAGCTGCATAAAACAAAAGCCAAGTCCTATAAATATGGGGAAAGAAGACCGACTGGAAGTCTATCAAGGTGTATTCAAATGAGTAAACTCTGGGATTTCATTTTTTTTCTATCTTTATTTTTTTTCAAGAATTGTATACTTGCATGATGTAGGGATAAGAATATATAATATCAATAAGTATTTTAGAGTTACTGCTTTTTAGAATAATCTGCATTAAGGCTCCAGGGATGCAGAACCAAGCGCTGATTCTGTTCATTTTATTATTAAGTCAGAAAAGAAGGAAGGACCACAGGGAAATAAGGAAGGCAAGAATCATTTCCCAAGCTCGTAAACTGTTTATGAAGGCATCGATAAACAAGTGTTGCCTTTCTCTATTTAGGATAGTGTCTAACGTTTACACTCCAGTTCCCCAATTTCCTTGTGGCTTATACGAGCTTTCTGGAACTCAAAGTCAGGTTCCAACCAGTCCAGAGAAGCCTACCTCTCAGATCTAAATAATACCTTCCTCATCTCCTGGGAACTCTCTTTCACCCAACAAACTCTCACCTTGAGTTCAGCCCGATACAAGAAGCTGAGAACAGAGGTAGTTGAGACTAACTTCTCTTTGACAGACTTCTTTCTCAGGGAGAGAGACCGGGAGACAGAAAACATCATCCATATGTGACAGGCTATGGAGGGATGTCAAAGCTGGTGTGTTAAACAGGAAGATTTCTAACCATGCCAGGCACATGTGTCCATGGTGAAACGTGAGACACCTTTGTCCTTAGGCAGGTGGGAATGAGCCTGCTGCTGGGTAAGCAGAGTTTCAATAAACACAACTCACACTTAGCTGCAGCAGACACAAAAGCAGCAAGTGGGCACAGGCATTGGGTTGTGATGTCAAAGTCACCAGTAGCAGCAAGGTTGTCATGGCTTCGTTAAGAAAGGTAAGATCATACAGTGCCTTTGTGAGAAGAGTTCAGGCAGAGGCACTGAGTAGGAATCTACTGGCCTAGCAATGGAAATTCTGAAGCACAGTAGTCATGCGCAGGTCTTATTTTAGGAAAAGGATGTTGGAGGCAGGGTGGAGGCTGAGTTTGTTCAAAGAAGCTTCAGCATGGGCAGAGATGAGGATGAGAGAGAGGGTGGCTACAATGCTCTGAGGGTTTGCTAGAGCCTTGCAGGAAAGGGTGGCAAGAGAAACCAATGGTGGGTGGACTGGTGGTTGTTCATTTGAGAGACCCAGTCTTTAAAGACAGTGTTAATGGGGGACATTAAGGGGGGTATCACCAGGTGGGCAGGTACTCTAGAAATACGTGATAGACCCCTGGAGACACAGGACAGAATTCCTGGAAATAAGACTGCAAAGTTCCATGGAAGGGTTGTTTGGTCTGCTGAGGCTTTTTGCCATATTAAAATTGTTTTCTTTGCTCTGTCCATGCTTGGTGAATGTCCAGTTTAAGTTCTTTGATTCTGCTGGCTCAGGTCTAACGCAGTGTGGTTCATGGCAAAAGCAAGGCTGTGGAGGTGGGCAGACCTAGGTCCCTTCCTCAATTCAGAATGAAGCAGTCATCTCTCTTACTGTCCCAAAGACAGAGAGGGCTCAAAGGGAGTAGCTCAGGGGTGAAACACTTGTCCAGCATGTAGGTATGAAGTTCCATCCCCAGCATCAGAGAAAAGTGAAGAATGAGCTATATCTAACACTGAAGTTGTGGCTAGGGTTATAGTGTTAAGTATGCTTAGTCATTGGGCATACAGAAGCTTTTAATCTGAATCCCACAATGGATTACATAAGAGAAGCAAAAGTTCCCCTAGGTAAAGACATATCTCTATATCTATCTATCTATCTATCTATCTATCTATCTATCTATCTATCTATCTATCTACCTATCTATCTATCATTCAGGCCTTGAGAGGAAGAACATGGCACTGAAGATGTTATAATATACTGAAGAAGGCTGGGTAGTGGTGATGCATATCTTTAATTCCAGCACTCGGGAGGCAGAGGCAAGTGGATCTCGGTGAATGTGAAAAAAAAATATATATGTAAATATATGGATACATATGTACACACACACCCTGAAGAGTGAACAGTTTCAGGGGGTCTTAAAGGAAAGAGGCAGCTTCCTTATAAACCTGGAGAGGAGCTTCATTTACGACTGAAAATGAGGAGAGATCTAGAGAGTCAGAGAGAGGGACCGCTCAGGAGTGTACTGCCACAAAAGGGCTGATGGGAGACAAGCAGAAGAGCCTCTTCAGAGAGTAATCTTCAGAGCACCTCCTTCAACAAATCCCCAGTGAAGTCTCTAGACCAATCTTCGAACAAAGGAAAAGTGGACTTTCTGTAACCTTTAAGGGGAAGTTTTACATCAAGTGGCTTAGTTCAATAGCATACGTGACAAAGAGCTTGGAGGAGCCAGGTGCTGGCTGGGACCATAAATCGGGGGCTACACTTAGACCACAGCACAGAGAGTTGCTTCTTTATCCGAGAGAGCTGCAGGGAGGTATGAAGTGATGATCTCTTCAAACTGTGGGGCTTGGCCTTTTAAAAGTGACTACTGTCATTTGGTTACACACACACAGAGGCATGCACACACACACTATTAGATTCTATCTATCTATCTATCTATCTATCTATCTATCTATCTATCTATCTATCTGATAGAATCTCTCCCTAGTTAACTGGGCCTGGCCTCAAACTTACTGTGTAGCCCATGCTAGCCTCAAACTCACTGAAATCCTCCTGACTCAGTTTCCTATCTGAGCTGAGATTACATGTCACAACAATACTCCCTGCAACCAGAAAACTGGTAAGGTGTGGAATGAAGCCTGAGTTAGCTCTGGCAAGTCAGTATTTACAAGGCAGATTCGAAGGTTAAAAATGAAAGGACCAGTTTGTTTCCCTCTGCATTCTGATTTTTGGAAGACTACTACACAAATTACAAAAGTGTGATTCGCTCAAGCTCTCAAATACCCAGCATCACTCTCAGCCATATGCTCCAGACAATGGAGTCAACCCAAGTAACAACTTTATTCTAATCTACAGCACAAGTTCTTACATACATTTTAGTGGTTTTGACAGTGTTGCATATGAGCAGACTTTAAATGAATCCACAAAAAGTTAATATATTTAAAGTAAAATATATACAGTAAAATAACAGGCACCTAAATGTTCAGAATCATGCATACAGAGCAGCCTGGCTGGTGTTATCCTTGGGTACCCTTGACTACTGAAGAAATCCCCAGCAATCAGTTCTTCAGTTGTTCCTTTACAATTTATCAAAATCAGAGCCCAAACATACATATAGAATAAACTTCCTTTCAAACTTACAGCTGTACAGAATTTCAATTAATAAAGCATATCTTTAATCTGACAGTTCCATTGAGCAAGCCTATTTCTAGACAAACAGGTTATATTAACATCTGTTCTAAAGGCAAGGTGACTTCATTTCTCTTAAACACCAAGATAGATTAACCAATAAAGCAACTAATACATCAATCTTAATATAAGACATCGAGAGGAAACTAGAAATAATATATAAATATCACTCCACTGAGTCAGCATAAAACCCATAGACTACTGACATGAGCTTCTACCTGTCAATCAATGTTTTATTTATGGTGTGAAAAAAAAACATAGGATATTGAGAAATGCAGAGGAAAAGGCAGAAATGTGAGTTTGTGTGTCTAGTCCCACAAATAAAATCAATATCAAACTGATACAGTAAAATTAAGTGGCTCAACCACAAAGACTTGAACCCTTGGGCACCAGAGTGGCAATACAGTTCACCATAATTCAGAAAGCTCATGAGAAGTGTCTGGCAGATGGGCAACCCAACAATACTGTCATAATCCGGACAGGATCCTCCTCCACTGTGGAGAGAGACCCCAGAGAAAATGTGGCAAAGGCATACAGCAGAGTTATGTCTTCTGAAAAAGTTGATGGTGTCAAAACACTGTCTTACCCCTGGTGGCCCATACTAGGACAAGGACATCAGTCCAAAGCAGCACTGAATTCAGGGTCAGAGATTGGCAGAAAAGTTTGGAAAAAACTGCAGTTTTTCTAAAAAATTGGCAAGTTCTCCACACTTAATAAAACTGTCAGAAGAGGTATAATGTTTGTCTGTGGAATGTTGACCGCTTGCTGCAAAACTTCTCATGAATGAGGACCCACAGGGGTGCGCATCAATGGAATAGTTTCTTTTAAAAATTTACAAAAGAACTGAAGCCTCCTTTTAAAAAATAACCATGTTATGTCAAGATGAAACATGGTAAAAAAGTAGTGTTAAGTTTCCATGATTCTTTTACACAGTGAACGGGAAACGTGTGATAGAAACAACTTTTGTTTTTCTTAAAAAGGAAGTTGTATTATTGCACTGACTTTGACAACCTGACCTACTAATTTAGAAAAAATCATCGTAGTTAAAACCTGTAAAACAAAAATACAAAATTCTGGTTTGTAAACATCAGTTGGCCATGTCTCTCCCGAGTCCTTCATGATAGTGGAATGGAATGAAGAATTGATTCACTACCTTATCTGTTGCCTGTGGAGAGGAAAACTCCAAGGCACAGCTTTTACACTTTCACAGTAATTATATTAAAAAAAAAATTAAAAGAAGTCAGTGCAAGTTGCTCATTCTTCTTCTGTGTGCAACATTCAGCTCTTACCCCCACTCAAGTGCCTCACTTGTGATAATACTGATTTGAAAACCTAGCAGAGACTGGTCATAAATGCCGAATGAAGTCCGTGGGACTTCGGTACAGGTACTTCCAAATGGCGTAGTAGTGTACGGCAGCCGCTGTGGCCACAAACAGGTGCCAGATGGCATGGGCAAATGGAATGATGCCATCGCTCTTGAAGAACACAACTCCCAAGCAGTAAATCAAGCCCCCACAGGCAAGCTCTTGAAGTCCGTCAGTGTTATTCTGTCAACAGAGGCGGGGTGGGGTATGAAAAGGTTTGATGTTACTCTGATGTGACAAGGTAAGAGTTATTGTCCTTGCCCCCAAAGCTCCTGGTTTTCTGCACAGTTAAAAGCACGGTGTGAACAACACCCTTATCTGTAAACATAAAGCAATTGTAAAATGCCTCACCCACTTGACCTGGAATACCCTCTGGATCTGCAGGCATGGATCTGACCATTGGACACATTATAGGCTCCACGAGACAAAGTGGTAACTCTGATCATTTAACTGTGTGCCTAAGCAGATTGCAATCACGGTTAGCCGTGACGTGCCTTCGAAGGCTGCGTGACCCTCATTTCCCAGATTACCCTTTGGAAGCTTCCTTCCACATGTGGCAGGCCTAATATACTGATTTATATCTTGTATCTCAGCCAGGCTTGTCACATGCCTTTGACCTCTCTCCCACCATCTGTACTGATTGGTTGCCCCTCTCGGGGTGCACCCCCCCCCCCAATCTTTGCAGCATATATGAATTTAGGGCATCTTTACTGCTGACAAGGGACACATCACAGCCTTAGGGATTCCCTAATTTGGTCCGTACATCCTGGTGTTAAAACTAAGTCCTATATATTTTAAGTGAAAAACAAGACTTTTTAAAGGCTGTCTTGAGAGATTCAAAGACACAGACCCATCTATAAGAGTAAACTATAAAGAGACTTGAATGCATGAGATCAGGGAAGGAGGTGCCTGTAGGAGAAGCAGAAGCCAAGCCAGAGGGAGGCCAGCCCTTAGAAGGGAACAAGAATGCAGACAGCTGGGTGTTAATGCCAGCAGCCTTGGAGCAAGTCCATGTAGCCTGATGGTCCCAGTGGCCAAGTCAGGCAAAAGCAAGAGGAAATTCCAGCTCAGCCACCTGCTAGGAAGGAGCCCAGAGGCCTAGCCAAAAGCACTAAGAAGAGGGTGCTGAAGGCCGGTGGGAGGACACAGGGCCCGGTGTGATGATCAACCCTATTTCCAACATTCCTATGAACTTCAGGGTTTTGCAGGATTAAAAGTTTAGGAAGGAGGCAACTCGAAATGACCCATACCAGATTTTCTTTTCTTGGTAAGAAGAGACAGGTTCAGCTAGACATTAATTAAAATGTTAAAAAAAATCTAAAACCAAAAGCCTCAAGCCAATTCATCATACACTTGTATTGCTTCATACAGGTTACAGGGCTACCAACACCATTCATGCAACATTCTTGTATGTGCATTAGGAATACTGTTCCAGACGGACAAAGGTTGCCATAGATTCCTAGGGGGAGCAGGAGCTCCAAGTGGAAGTGTCACTCATGAAATAGCACCTCCTTATTTGGAGGGCAGAAAGCTAAGAGAGGTAGCTTGACAGAGTTATGTGGCTGGCCACTGCCTCACTGTCCTCAGAGTGATCTGGTTTCTGGCTTGGTTTTGATGGACTCCAATACTCTTTGTCCAAACAAGCTAGAGACCAAAACAAGTACACCAATCAGTTTTTAAACACAATCTATAAAGAGACAGTTCCTTAAAACACTTCTACCTCTTCAGACTTTCAGAGACAGGGACAGACTTAACTTTAAAGCAAGCCAAGTGTTTTCTTGTTACTCATGATGTTGCAGGTACCACCTGATAGACACCGTGAAGCATTCCTGTGTATTCACCCATGTTAATCTTCATGACCCTAACTTGGGTACCATTCATTATCAACAGAATTGACTAACAAGAAACGGAGAGGTTAGGTACTTTTCTCCAGGCCAGGGAGTTTCCTAGTATGAGAACTGGGACCTGAACTAGAGTGGTCTGATGCCTGAACTTTCATTTGGCACTGGGGAAATGGGCATTTTCAAAATGGGGTTGTGTGATGAATTTTGTGAGGTATACAGATGAGAATGAAAGGTGGGACAGAATGAGCTTGATTACATTGGTTACATCTGTTGTTTTATAAAAAAGAAAGGGAAGCCAGAGATATGTCTGGTAGAAGCACGATATGGTGCGGGGAAGGGGGTGCCTCTGTGGACCCATGCTGAAGCATCTCTTCCCTCTGAGGTACCAGCCACACAATGGGTATAGTATAGAACAGACTTTAGGGCATGGGGAGGGGAGTTGAAGGGTAAAGACAGAGAAAGGCAGAGAGAGGGGTAGGAAGAGAAGGAAGAGGAGAAAAAAGAGGGAAAGAAGGAAGAAGAGAAGGAGGACGAGGAGGAGGGGAGGAGGAGGGGTTGTGGAAGAAGAAGAAGAGGAGGAGGAAGAGGAGGAGGAGGAGGAGGAGGAGGAGGAAGAGGAGGAAGAGGAGGAAGAGGAGGAAGAGGAGGAAGAAGAGAACATCCATGCAAATGCTTCTGTAAAGTTCTTTGGCATCCCAGTCCCAATCTATCCTGGACCCCTCCAGCAGCCAAGACAAGCACTGTTCTCAACACTACCACCACATCCGGGACCACTGGCTCTAGAACTTCAGACAAGAGGAATTATACTGCTTATTTTCTGAGAGTCACATAAATCCAAGTACATATTTTCAATTCTCTTTTCCTCTTGTTTGTTTGCTTGTTTTTGGTTTGTTGTTTTGCTTGGTAGTTCCTTCATTTAACATAGTTTATTAATTCTTGCTATTCTGGAAACTGCAATGAATGAGCCTGTTTTTTAACTTCATGAATCTTTTTTTTTTGCAATATATGTTTCCATTTCTTAAAGTAAACTACCAAGTTCCAGAATAAATGCACGCTTCATTTTATTAGAAACTACAAATTTAAGAGCTAAACTTTTGGAGGCAGGCCGTATCACTTTACACATTACAAGCCCTGCTGGGACTCATCCTACTGCAGGCCTCTAATCCTAACTGTTCTTTCGGGTATGTCTCAGCAGCTCGCTGGGGTTTTCATTTCCATTTTCTTGACCACTAATTATATCCATATGTTTTCAAAGGGTTATGGGTTTTCTTTTTCTTTGCAAGTTTTTGTCAAAACTTTGTACCCATCTTTACAGGGCTTTAGGATTGATTTGGAGGACCATGGATTGAGCATCTATTTAACAGATGGGTACTTTCAGGATACATGTCCTTTATCACAGACATAGCAAGTATTTCCTACAGGACTGTGACTGCCCGTCCATTTTCTTCACAGAAGCAAAAGCTTTAATTTTGAAACTTTCCTCCATTTACTTTTTCTTCTCTTATGGTCTTTGTTTCTGTGGCTCCAAAAACCTTTGCCTATCCAAAAAAATTGCGACAAGATGTTCCAGGTTTCCTGACGTTTGTGTTTCCAAGAAATCTTAAGCTTCTTGCTTCATTGCTAAGCCTATACTTCAAATGGAATTTCTGCATGACGTGAAATTGACATTCAAATGTTCTAAACCCTTTTCTTAAAAAACATTTCCCCTCTTCCATTGAGTTGTGTTTATATATAAATGCCACTGCTTCCTAAATAAACTATTTATTAGCATAAAATGTCTATAGACTCATTTCTTCCTGGACACATCCATTGACCAGTCCCAACAGAGACAGCACAGCCCTCTGTGAGCTCAAATCTTCTTCAGTCATCCTAGGTCCTCACAGAATTAGTGATCTGGACCATGGGTCAAAATCTGTATTCGTCATCCTTCTCCCAGTTGAAGAATCTGTCTGGGATGTTATACTGGTTTGGATTCTGGATAATGGTGTCTGTCACATGTTCCACCCCATCCTCCCTGAGTTCTCCGGTCCTCTTGGTGCCTGCTTTATTTAGCACTACACAAACACATCTCCCCACACCCTTAAATGCATTGATGGCTATTTTTTTGCATCCCACTGATGTTAGCATTGAGTACTCACAGTGTGCCTTAAGTTCTTAGGGATCTCTAGAGACAGGCCAGTGGTAAAAACAGGTATGATGTCACTATTTCTTTTAACATTGTAGCCAATTGTGCTGCTAAACTCATTCTTAATGTCTAGAACTTTTCTACAGATCCTGGCTTCTATCCAGTGATGAAACTGGTCTATAGATAAAAAGTCCGTTTCCTGTCCTTTTCCACTGACTTGCTTCAGTTTCTCTGATCTCTTACCGAATCCCTAGCACATCAGTTACATGTTGACTAGTAGTGAGGGCATGCATTATTGCTTTGTGATCAGTCTTTCACCAAAAAATACGGCATTTGCTGGTGGCATTTCCTTAATTGTCTTCTATCAGATCTGTGAAGTTTCTAAGCTTGTTGAGACTTTTAAAATGATGGTTGAATACTGAACCTTGTCAAAAGCTTTTCCTTCATCAGTTGAGAGATCCACTCTTTCTCTTTGATTCTCACAATGTGGCAAATTTCAATGACTGATTTCTAAATGATGGACCAATGGCTCCAGGAAAACCTAACCTGATTATGATTTTTTTTGAATCCTCATGAAATTCGATTTGCTGATACTCGTTGGAGTCTTTTCTGTTTCAAGAGTACTGGTTTGTAGTGTTCCTGCAACATGCATTTGATTCTCAGGGCAATCTTGGCTTTATAAAACAACCTAGGAGGTGTTTTTTTTTTCAAATCCAGTTTTGTTTGTTTGATTGACTGATTAATTTATTGCTCTCAGGTACCCCTGGCTGGTCTTGAACTCTTGATCTTCCTTCCTCTACCTCTGAGGCACTGGAAATTCAAACACAGCCCACCTCACCAAGTTCCTCCACTCTACTTGTGAAAGTCTATATAGAAGTATTATTATTATGATCCTAGGTATAAAATTTGCTATAATGTATGATTGGAATCTTTTCATAGAAACAGCTTTTGGTTTCATGGATTTTTCTCTAGTTGTTGAGTTTGTGTCTCCCCGCCCCTCTGTGTGTGTGTGTGTGTGTGTGTGTGTGTGTGTGTGTCTGTCTGTCTGTCTGTCTATTTAGCCTCCTACATGTCCAGTAAAGTCTCCATCACTAAGCCACACCCACAGCCCTCTAACTATGTCTATACTGTTAGTTATTGCAGGCTTTACTTACTCTTTCCATCTGAAGATAGATGCTTACATCATCATTTTAAAAACTTTCTTCTTTTTAATAATGTTACTCAGAGTTCTTAAAAAGAAATAGAAACATGGGAAGCCTGGAGTGGATGTGTATAACCACAGGCACAGGCATGTAGAGGATGCCAGTGCCGCAGACTCAAGAGATGGCAAAGCATTCCTCTGGTCCAAAAAGCAGTGTTTACCAACACCTGACCTACAGGAGTGTGCAAAAGCTAGCATCTGCAGCATCTTCTTTACCGATGACTGTACTCTGAGACTGTTCCCCTAGGAGACCTGATAGGGCTAGCTAACGCCTCCTTCTCATCATGCTTGTACAAGATAAACACCCTCAGGTTTTAGGTTGCATCATTGGTGTCCCTCTGTCAGAATAAACACACCTTATCTGATCCCAGATACGCTGTTCATGTGTTGTTCTTTCTTCATTCTCTTATCACCCTAGTCAGGGTTCCAGACTACCCTGTGCAAGACTAGGGACAGAGTCAGTAAGGTGGATGTGCCTGCAGCACAGGTGTGTGTGTGTGTGTGTGTGTGTGTGTGTGTGTGTGTAACTGACTTGTGTAATTACAGAGCAGCAAGCCTGAATCCTGCTGGAGGCTGTCAGACAGTGGTCCAGGTAACTTTCCTACTGCAGCTGGCACCAAAGGCAGGGGAGGATTCTTGCTAGGAAGGCCTCAGACCTTCGGGTCCTCAGGTGACTGGCTGAGGCCCACTCACACTACAGGGAATACACTCTGTGTCTACTGAGTTGAATGCTAATGTTACTGACGAAGCACCTTCTCAACCGTCAGGTTGTTCATGGACAGACATCTAGGTACCTCGGCCTAGTTAGGATGATTCATCAAAGCAACCTGCACACTCACAGAGGCATCTAAAGCACCGCACCTCTTTCCCAACACCGCTTGGGCTGAAGCCCATGAATTGTCCGGTTGCATATTCATTACCAATCAATTCAAAGACGCAAGAGTTTATAGAGATGTGTGATGTTTAATCTTTAAACACCTGGGATGTAGCTATCTTTTATTGTGGCACAGTTCTAATTCTTTAGTACCAAAGATTGCTTTACAGTTTAGTTATATTGTCTATTCTAATCGGAAGATTTTATATACTGACCTATTTCAAGGTGAGGCCTTACAGGAGGAAGCAGATTGGTGGGGGCACGCCTCTCAAGGGCCTAGCTTGTCCCTGGCTCCTTCTTACACATCTGTCTGTCTGCTATGAGGTACCCCACCCTGCTTCATGTGCTCCCTCCACAGTGTGCCTCCCCCATGCAAGAGCCCACAACCAATAGTCAAGTAACTACAGGCTAAAGCCTCCAACACTATAAGCCAGAATAAATCCTTCCACCCTTCCTTTTTTATGTTTTGTTGTTTGTTTTGTTTTGTTTGCTTTGTGAGCTTTTTTGTCACAGTGATTAAAAGCAACTAAGACACAGAGGCAGAGGAACTCTGTCCCTACAGTGACCCCTGGTCACACCTGAAGGCCAGAGACATTTGATGTCCGAGGTGGTTTTACCACTTGGGATAGTGGGAACTCCACTATTCCCCCGAATCCACTGAAGTCACTGTTTAGCTCCTCACCTTCAAATAGTTATTCTCAGGGAGGGCTTCCAGAATTCTGCCTTGCACAAATCCAGCTTGATGCTTGGCCAAGCATATTCCTTTGTAGATTCCTGGAGGTCTGCCTTAGTAGCTCTGTCCTCCCTAGGTCCCTGCCCCATCAACTGTCCCACGTCTGATTTCTAGGAAGACAGCTGCTCTCTGAGCTCTCTTTTAATTGCTATTTGGAAAGTCTACAGGAAAACAATGGGGGAGGCAGTAGAACCCAAAGCTCAGCTTTTGGTTTCTCTTCCTTCAAGCATCAGGACTAGGTACAGAGTCAGTAAGATGGATGTACATGTCTGCCTGCAGCACAGGTGTGTGTGTGTGTGTGTGTGTGTGTGTGTGTGTGTGTGTGTAACTGACTTGTATAATTACAGAGCAGCAAACCTGAATCCTGCAGGAGTCTGTCAGACAGTGGTCCAGGTAACTTTCCTACTGCAGCTGGCACCAAAGGCAGGGGAGGATCCTTGCTAGGAAGGCCTCAGTCCTGTCCTGCACTATCTGTGCTCGATGCTGCAAAAGCCAGCGACTTTAATTCATAATCGCGTTCTATAGCTCTTTGTGGCAGAAGGGTGAAGTCTGAGACCCACGACTCAGCTCCAGAGCTCAGCGTTCACGCTTACATAACCCCTTTGATCTGGACTCTGTCTAGATCCCCAGATTATTATCTGCTCTCCAAAGACGATGGTGCCCTCCCCAGGCATGCTGTATTCTCTGTTGGTAACACCTGCCTCACTCTGATAGCTTCCTGATTTCTACTTATCTTTCTGAATCAGTGTGCCTATCAACTTATTTTAGTACTTCAACCTCATGTTCCCATAGCAACCTGAGTTGTTTATCCCCCTCCCCCCACCCCCCAGCCCCTGCCATCAGGGACATTATAAAACTGTATTACAGTCTCCAATTGAACAGAAACGGTGTCTGCCTGTTGGACCTCAAGTTCTGTGGCAGCAATGTGTGAATTACCCGGCTTCATTTTCATAAACATTAGTCACTGGCTATTGTAGCACCTAGGAAAAGGCCGATTACAAATTCAGGCTAGTAAAATACTGGATAAACCTGCTTTTATGACAGCCAGAGGGAATTGACTTGAAACTCTGCTCTAATAATTAGTAACCAATCCACATAGACTTGGCTATTAAGGCTCTGGCTGTCCTGAACTGCCCTCTAAGGATGCAATAGCCGTGGCCCACTTTTCTCACTTCAGTCACACGTCTGCCTCTCTCTTCTCATTCTTCTTTGCTGCCAAGTGAAACATATACATCTATGTATATGCATACATAGACATTGACATATGTATTTATCTGTGCAGTGGTGCTAGGTAATTATTAAAACCACCATCAAACTCATATCTCAAGGGAATCTCATTTTTGACATTTTCACAAGCAATGTTTCCTGAAAACTCAGAACCAACTTTTAGCTCCAAGGGGCACTCTTCTGAGGAGGGCAGGACCTGGGGAGAGGGAGGGGAGGTGAACCCTGGGGAGTTGGACACTGGGTGTGGGAGGCAGGCACTGGGGAGTGTTAGGTGGGCCCTGGAAAGTGGGACGGGAGGCAGGCACTGGGAAGAGGGAGGCGGGCCCCAGAGAGTTGGAGGCAGGCCCTAGGGAGTGGAATTACATTCTCACACTGTATGCAGAAATTCAGTAATGAAATCTCAGGTACACTCTTGACCCTGGACAACTGAGAATAAAGAAATGAGTTAAACTACACAAGCTGCAGTTCTCTAATTAGTACAGTGGCTAATGGCCAGTGCTGAACACAAGACACTGGAGAAATAAGCCAGGGGCCAGCAGAGCTGGACGGGACTGTAATGTATAGTTGTGACTCAACGTGACAAGTGTACACGGACTTCTACATGATAATTTCACTGGAAAGGGAACTTAAAACATACTGTATATAAGAGTCCACTAAAGATAATGTAATTTTTTTTTTTTTACCGAAGTTCCCAAGTTATTCTCAAGCAAAGTTAAAAGTAAAATAACAGATTTTTTTTAAAGCCACTTTCTTTTCTTAGAAGGAGACTACTTCAAAGCAAATGAAAAAAAATATGAAGGAAAAGAAATTGAAAAATACGGAGCAGGAAGCTGGCGCAAGTGCTGGGCTTTTCCTTCTGACCTCAGACTTACAGCTTTCCTTCCCCAGCTGGGTAGGGACCATATGGTGGTCCCACCACAGCCTTCAATGCTCCCTCTAACTCTTAAGATTTTATGTCAGTAATTCATGTTCTTTTCGCCATAACAGACCTCCAAATAGTCTCTTCCAGAGATTGAGGCTTAAGCAGCCTCATTAATTACCCTGAAACAGCCACTTCTAGTCTTTTAGATGAGTCTCTGAAAGACGAGAGATGAGGTAGGGGTGGGGGGAAGACTAGACCCATCATCCAAAACAGTACAGAACAAACCCGATGGATACACAGCTTTGCCAAGCCTTGAGGGTAGCTAGAGTGACAGGCTGTATTATCTATGTATGTTTCTCTCCCAAGTCTATAGTTAATGGACATATCATAGCTCCAAAAGGGAACATTGGGCATCTATTATGACGTCAGAGTATTAATTCTAAAGCCACATCTCACCATTGATGTCACCACCAAGGCTGGAGAAAATCCCATCGTGAGATAGAAGAAAAGTTCAACCACTTTATATCTGCAGGGACACAAATGGTTAGACACACACCTGGGGACCGCTTAGACCATGCACATGCTAGCTTCCTTTTTATTTTGAAAGAGAAATATGAGCTTTTAAACTACTCGAAGGAGATGCATTCCCAGTAGACCACTGAGCCTCTCCCTAACATACTAAACTGAATAACAATGACGTGAAGTTTCTACTAGGATGAAAAGGGCAGAAATTGACCCAAGCTGCCTAGAACAGGTCTGCAGTCAAAGCTAGTTGTAATCTAGCCCAGTACACTATTTTTCCCTTGCCCACCTTCTCTGGTTGGCCCATCACCAGTTCCATCCAGAGTTAAAAGGACCTTGAAAGGTATTGAGTAAGGGGAAAAGCTGTATCCAGCGCTACCTTCTTTCCTCAAACACTCTCCAGATTTCTATCTAGGTGAGTACTGTGCTGTTACACTTAACATCGGTTACCCCCCCCCATCTCCATGGAAACTGAAAGAGAGCTAGTTTCCACTTAAGATGTCTGTGAAACAAACAGGGCTAGCTTGCCTCTGGAAAAAAAAAAAGGTTCCTACGGCTCTAAAATGTCCCCAACTTCATCAGGACACATTTATGCCTTCCCACCCCAGCATGTCCAGCAACAGTGAATTTCAAATGGCATTAAAGATTTACTAAAAAGCGATACATTTTCTTTTTATGTATTTCTACTATTGTGAAGCAGCAGCACAAAGGAACCTGCACTGTACCACAGGGATAATTTACGTGGTTAATTGTTAAACTATCGAACGGAAGTGATCTTTATCTTACTTTTCATGGTAGAGAAATACATAAATGGTTCCTCCAGCTGCCATGAGCCAGATAAACCAACGCATATGAGATGCCAGGGGTCCAAGTTCACGGAGATTTAACCTATAAATGCAAATGACAATAAAAGGTGTAAATGACAGGAATCTGGAACCCATGCTCGCCTAGTAACAGCAAACAGTAAGGTGACAGAAAGACATGGCCTTCAACATAGCAAGGAGGCTTTTGGAAGTCTGGGTGAAACTAATCATGCAAGGAAAAGACTATTGGTCGAATTTTAGTATTCAGAATTCCATATGATTTAAAAATAGCACCAGCTAAAAACAGACATGTCAGTATGCCTGTCAAGCCCGACTTTCCCTAACAGGGTCACACTGAAATAAAGGCTACTGGCAGTTTTATTTCTGACTACACATTTGGGATGCTGACAAAGCTTATTGAGAACCCAGAATAAAATCCTGAACCAGGATCACATACCAACAGCGGACACCTAATATACATATCTCCTTTAGCAACCTCTCTGCCAAGACAGAACATGAGAACTCCTTCAGCAAGTGCTATGGGATGTGTTTGTCACAGTTCAACATACCACAACGTCATGTGCCCTGGTATATTAAAAACAAATATGAAAAAGAAATGTTCAGTTTGGCTATAACTATAAAACTAATATTCTCAAAAGGAAAATTTATAACTATAGACATATCTAAACCTCCATAGGAACAGACTGCCTACTCTGTGTGTGATTCTTGAGTTCATACTTAATAGCTTTTCTTTTTTTTTTACATATTTACCCACTTTAAATTGCTTCACAAAAGCTTTTAAGCATGCTTGCTCGTATCTGAATCAGACCTATAATTTAGTGAGAGGTACTAGAGAGGCCTTGGACATTTTTTATTCAAACAGATAATTACATTTCTTCTGAGTGACTGAGCCTGCGTGAGCCAGATTCTAGAGGCCTGCTGTTTCTATCGAATACAGCATGGATGGCCCAATGGAAAGTTCTGAGTATTTAAAACGGGGCCAGGTCTAGAGGAAAAACTATAGTTTCTCTAATGTTGGCTTTTAAAGTAATGAGAGGCTGTATGTGATCTATGTCAGGAGGGCAGTAAAATGAAGGAAACTGCACAGGAGATTAAATATTTTAAGTGGTTGACTAGTTGGGCTAGTTAGCAGAAGGAATGAGAATGTGTGGACAGACAGTAGCTACTGGGCTACTATTGAGCAGTCAGAAACAAACAGTAGACATTTCTAAAGGGCGCCTGCTTGTCTTCCTATGTGTTTCCAGTTATTTCCATTCACCAAATTCAATCTTCATGGAGTCCGAAAAGCAGCAGAGGTATATGGGAAGAAGATGAGGGGGAAAGGGAGCCTGCTAGCTACACCCAAGTCCACAGCACCTCCTCTGAAATCATTGCATGCCAGACAGTCCTTCCAAGTAGTGAGTAATGTAACCAGGTAAATCAAACTGGTGGGCAGGTATGCACTGTGGGAGGGGCAGAGTGCATGCAGGGATGACTGTGGGGAGGGGTGGAGAGGAAGGGAGGAAAGGAGTGAGGACCTCTATCGTAAAGATGCTTTTCTAGGGTACCAGGATGCTATCTTACCATGGGGCGTAGGAAGCAGCAATGAAGAAGTAGATGACCATCCGATCACACATGTGGAAACAATGCTCCACTGTTCTGTTGGGGGGAAGTGAAGAGGGCAAGGGTTAAACGTTCAGACAGGAAGTATGGGCTACCTACAAGGCTACAATGCCTGCTTTATTTACCCAGGTCACTCACAGCTCGCCCTTCAAAGCTGCAGCTCTTTTTAATGACAGGAAGCCAAAGGAAAAGCTTTGTATTTTTAGGTCATATACATAACTGGACATCAGATGAGGGAGCCCCACAACAATCAGGTGATATGAGTCCTTTCTGATGTTCTCTTTTTCTTTTGGAAGATGCAATTCTCTGAGGGCAGACCACTGCCTGGTTCCTATCACAGTACATGGCTCAGTCCTGGTCCTGAGCTACCACGTCCTGAAAAATCTTTTCCTTGCTTTAAACTCATTTTTTTCACCATTTTATATTCATACATAACACATTTTGTCATAGTCACCCATCTGCAATCTCTTACCGGCCCCTACTTTCCCCCCAACCTGGCACTACAGTGGTGCTCAACCTTCCTAATACTAAGATCCTTTAATACAGTTGTTCTTCATATTGTGGTGACCCCCCCAACCACAAAATTATTTTCTGCTACTGGTATGAATCATAATGTAAATATCTGATATGCAACCCATGTAAGAGGATTGTGCAAACCCCTAAGGGGTTGCAACCCAGAGGTTGAGGACTACTGTTCTACCAGGGCTCCATCCCATTTTGAAGACTTTTGTTTGCTGAGTTCACATTCTTGTTTGTTTTTTTCCCCCACATCTTTATGCAAGCTTTCGCTTAAAACACGCCAGGGTAGACAGTAAGTGGTAATAAGGAGAAATCAGTAGTTCAGGGCCAGCAATAGCGTTCATAAATATGGCTTATTTGCTATGAAAGGGCAAAATCCAACCTGCTGAGTTTGACTTACAACATGCATGCTAAAGAGCCTGTGTTTTTACTGAGGTCATTTAAAATTATAAATGCAGGCGGCTGGAGAGATGGGTCAGTAGTTAAAGCGTGCTTAGTGCTCTTCCAAGGACCTGTATTTGCTTCCCAGCACCCATGTCAGGCAGCTTGCACCCATGGGTAACACCCATGAAGCTTCAGAGAATCTGATGCCCTCTTCTGGTCTACACATACACACACACACACACACACACACACACACACACACAGAGAGAGAGAGAGAGAGAGAGAGAGAGAGAGAGAGAGAGAGAGAGAGAGAGAGAGAGAGAGAGAGGTGTACATTCACACAGATGCACATACACACATATAAATAATAGTTGAAAACAAGAATGAATAAATAAATAAATAAATAAATAAATAAATAAATAAATAAATAAATAAAGGTGTAAATACAGAGGCCTTTAAGTGATGTAGCTGAGGCTAGGCCTGAGCCCCTGATCCTCTTGCCTCCATGTCTCACATGTTGGGATTACAGGCAGATGCCATCTGCCCAGCTCTACAGTGTTGTTCTGAATCTAGTTCTGGTTTCCAAGGTATGGATGCTACCATTTTGTGGGGCATGGGCCCTTGATGTTGCCTCACTATCACATATGCTGTTGGCCAAGCGGACTGACAGAGGCATGAGAGCAAATAAGTAAAAATCAGATCTGTGTGGGAGCTACAGTTTAGTCCGTCATCACTTAGTTAAAGGTCTAAAGAAGCAAATATCCAATCAAACCACCACGTCTAGGAATCACCTGGGAATAAAGGCAGCCACAGACCCATGGGAGCAAGATTCTACTTTCAAGGAACTGGGGAAACAGGAGGAAGAAAGTGAAGAATTTAATTTCTTGTTTTGAACCCCTGAGATAATTTTGATTCCTTGCAAGGTTAGAGGGCTTTCTAACTCTGCTTTCTAGACACTGTTTGGGCAGATAGTCAAACCTGGAATCTTACTGGTGATCTGCCACCAGTTTGTCCTTGTGGCACAGGCCTGTGGTCCCAGCTTCCGAAGCCAAGATGATATTAATTACCTGGGAGATACAATGGGTTCATATCCTAAGCCAGACTTGTTCTCAAAATAAAAAGTAGAAAGAGGTCTGGGGATGTAGCTCAGTGGCAGAACACTTGCCTGGAATAATATGAAATCCTAGAGGTAATTCCCAATACCACTTTCTCATAAAATGAGAATATTCCACAAGCCACCTTCTCTGGTCACACTATGTCATAAAAGGGGGACCAACTTGAACACAAAAGACATTAAATGTGGTGATGTCAGCTATGTTCTCAAGACACTGCCCAGCACACAGTCAGAAATTGGGACTTCCCTTCTCTTTCCTAATTCTGCCTTTGTTAGGTATTTGAAAAATGGTGTGATTTGGGCTGGCCCTAGGCCTCCCTGCACATATGTAGCAGATGTGCAGCTTTGTCTTTGTGTGGGTCCTGAACAAGTGGAGCAGGGGCTATCCCAAAAGCTGTTGCCTGTCTGTGGTATGTTCAGCTGGGCTGCCTTGTCTGATCTCAGTGGGAGAGGAAGCGCCTAGCCTCGGAGAGACTTAAAGTGCAAGCGTGGGGTGGGGGGATACCCAGAGAGGGAGCCTACCCACTCAGAGGGGAAAAGGGAGGAGAGACAGGGGAAGAACTGTGGGAGGGGGTGACAGGAGCGGGGCAGTGAGTGGGATGAAAAGTGAATAAATACAAAAGATTAAATTAAACTTAAAAAAAAATGGTTTGAAGGCTGAGCAAGGGAAAAAAAATCTACTCGTGGCCTGTGATTCTAGCAATACTCTTTCATGGTTCAAGAGAATCTTGTTTCTATTAAACCTTCATCTCCAGCCACTGCCAGGGAGGCCCGGAATCCCGAAGTAAGCATCTACAACTCTTTATTGATTCAGAAATCTAGACATCAGAGCCAAGTACACTAAGACAACCACAACTGTCAGGCTCTGCCAGGAAGATAATGAAGTGCCCTCCTCCCAGACTCGCCTCTGGGTCCAGCGACTGTGTGTCCTGGGAAGCCAGCACAGGTGCTTTGGTGAATCTCCTGTGCGTGTGTCTCAATGCTGTGGTTTTATTTTAATCCCAGGGAACTGTCACCTTATAGGAAAGGGTGGCAGAATACAAGCTTCAGGCCGTACTGTAAAGGACACAGTGAAATATGGGGACAAGAAGAACCCTCTCCCAAAGCCTGCCTCCCCACTAGTGACAATGTTTTCTTGGCTTCTTTGTTTTGTTGAGATAGAGTCTCACTCCACGGTTAACTGGAACTTACTCTGTAATCTAAGGTGGCCTCAAACACATGACAATCCTGGTGTCTCAGGCTCCCAAGTACTGGAATTATAAGTATGAGTGTCATCATGCCTGGGACTTCATTTTGACAATTTATGAAACCAAAAGATCTTTCCTTACGCCTTTGATTAGAAGCGCAGTCTCGGTTATACAGCGGATGCTGGCCCCACACTTCCAACCCTTCCAATTCTGTTTCCCCCATGCTAGAACTACAGGTATGCGCTACCATGGCCAGCTCAAAGTTCATGCCCCTCTATCAGTGGTCCCCTGCTCCAAGGCTTCCAGGGTTTTTGAGAATTGTTTTCCTCTCTAGGGGTTAATCTATTTAATTATTTAAGGTTTTATTTGATAAGCACCCATTTCCACATAAACGATGCTTCGTCTTCCAGCCTCATTCTGACAAATATAGACACATTTACATCCTTATGACCAGGCCAAGGAGTTTGATATCATTTAGAAAGTACTTCATAGTTAATCTTCTCTGGGATGAATCTCACGATCACCTCGTCCGACATTTTATATTTTTCATATTATTTTCATATTTATCATCTTATTCACCACAATGCATCACAATAACCTCATGAGGCAGCATAGTAGTCCTTTCATAACGAGGAAACTGGGATTCTTTGTATGAAGTGGAATTGCTCAAAGTTAAACACAGGAGGACTGGGCTGCAAAGTTCAATGTACTTCCTCAAGAAGTCACAGCTATGGCTCTCTTTCTCATCGGGTCCCTGGTGAACAAGACAGAACTGGAAATCTCTCAGGATTGTAGCTGCAAAACCCAAAGGCCAGTTAGGGTACTGCTTTCTTAGATGCAAACAAGGCAGTTGGGTCTTCAAATCTCTATCCAACCCAAAGAGTATATCTTGAATTAAGGGGTAGCTCAAGGCCGATGGAGGAGGTAAAGGCCTTCTTCTTCATCCCACCGAAACCTCAATAGCCTGGGACCTGAAGAAACTGCTTAGTCAACTAAGATGATCCGCAGAGGAAGTGCCCAGCCTGCCCACTGGCCCTGCCCACTCGCCCTGCCCGCTGGCCCTGCCCACTGTACCTTAAGTGGCTCTTCTTCCATGATACTATGTGAAACACTGTGGAGACAATGAAGAGGGCGCAAAGGCCCATCCCGTAGATCCATGCTGTTATCTTTTCCCAGCAGTCGTCAGACAGCCGATGGAGGAGGGCACTGCCCACAATGGCTGGAACAATGAGGAACTGGAAGGAATGCAAAGAGAAATGAGCAAGCACCCTGGTGTCTGTGGGATAGAGACTTTTTGCTAAGAAACAAAACAAAACAAAATACAGAGGTTTGCCAATTGTGAAAAAGCACATTTTAAGCAAGCATTTGTTTTTCTTGGATAATCAAAATGAGGGGTGGCAGAAGTTAGCTGCTGCCCTGGAAGCAGGTGTCCCTGGTTCGGAGAACTGGGCCAGCCAATGGCTGCACAAACAAGCAGAGAGACAACATTGCCCAACCATTGCAAAACAGTTGTTCTTTATTCTAATATTAAATAAGAGTATATGCCATTCTCCTCTGTAACCTGATATATAGGAGGTATTTGAAATGTCCAAACATCAAGCCTATGCCAGCATTCCCAGAGAATGGTTGGTCCTGGTTTCCACGCATCCTATCCTGTCTGCAATCCACTATATAAGAGAAGGATACATGAGGGAATACGCTCATATTACAGTGTATAAATCACCACATCCCTCCAAGTCAATTATAGAATTAGTTTGTCCTGGTTTTTCCTTTGAACTTGTTCGTTTTACCTATTTGGGAGAGCCCGCAGAACAAAGGGGTTTGGGGATTTCATTATTTTAAATAGTACATGTCAAATAATCCATCTCGGAAGCTCAAAGTTTGAGAAAAATACAATCTTAGAATTCTGATTGCCGCCTCCTCCCTTCCTCCTGGTTCTTTCTTTTCCAACCACTAAGCAGGCAAGCATCCTGAGCTCTGGATCCCTCTCTCTACCTCCTAACTGATGGGATTACAGCACCATGCCCCCATGGTTGGCTTCTGTGTTATATTTTATACCATAGACCCAGATTTCAACATCAGGTGTCAGTTTTCAGTGGCCTAGAACAAGACAAGAGCAGTAACTATAATAACATTCTTTTCATAAAGAAAAACTTACTTGTTCAAAAAAAAAAATGGAGAGATTCCATCCAGTTCACTCCTGTCCTGGGAAAGCATCTGCTCTGTTTATCTTGTTTCTGGTTGTGTTGTGTTTTGAGACAGGCTGGCACTATCCTCACTCGCCTTCAAATTTAGGGCATGCACCACCACACCTGATAATACTTTCTCTTTAAAGACACGGCGGTGATTAGATATACTTTCTGTCTTTAGAAATCTCATAAGTCTCTAATACTCCCAAATATGCATTTATTTATCTAATAAGATCACACACTCTCTCTAAAACACTACCACAGAGATATGTATCAGCTTTTACTTCATTTCAATTTAAACACTGTTCTGTAACTTGTGACATGTTGAGAAGAGTTCAGGAGTGTTCAGGCACATCCTACACAAATGTTCTCTCTGAAAGTCGGCTGTGTACCTGCACAGGAAAACCATCATGCTGGCCCAACCTCATCTATAATTTAAGCCTTGCCTAATCCTCACCACTATAGGAGCAAATTCATCCTCTCCCCTACTTCTGGTTTTCAGAATATCTCAGGCACTGTTTCTCTCCAGATGTCTCACAAAATGAAACTCTCAGGGAGAATAAAAAGCCAACAAAACAAAACGAGAAAACAACAAAGATAAAGGAAATATGTAATGACATAAGAAAATGCAAGGGCCACTGTGTGGGTGAGAAGATTTAGCCTCCCTGTCTCAGAGAATCCTTTGATAAAACAAAACAAGAAGAAGCCCTCCTTTTCCAACACACCACGACTTGACCTAGTCGAATAAGTCCAATGGCTGTCTTGAAAAAGCAGTATCCTTCATTCAAGGCCCCACAGTATCCATAAGCAAGCTTCTCTGCTGCCCCCTGACTAGAGTGCTTACTTCCTACTACTCTTCTGAAAGTCCAGGCGATTGTGAGCCACAGGTTCGAGTGTCCAAGAGCTGTCTCCACGCTTACGTTTTCAGATTCTGAAAACCAACACTGACCCTTCAGGTACTTCAGGTCACCAGGCTTAGTACTTCCAACAACTTGTGCTGAAGTTACTGGAGAAGCCATTCATCCCACCCAAGCCGCGTGGGAAAGACGGAAAGACGGCAGCAGAAAAGGTATACTCACTGCGTGTGTGTAGCAATTGGCAGCATGTTCGTAGCAAGTTGGTTTGTAGCGGCCATTGGCTGGGGCCCGATGGTTCATGAAACTGTGGAAACAGAAAAGCCACTACGTGAGGCACACTCTAATCTGACCTGCGGGAAGCCTGCAGGGGTCACTCAGTCCCTTCTACAAGAAAAAGCTGCTGTTATCAACAAGAAAACGGAGCCATTTCAAGAAGTGTCAACTTGGCCGGCAGCAGTGAATCTAAAGCAAATATCTCGTTTATTTGATGAAACAGCCTTTGAGTTTGCTCAACAGATAAACTTCTGCCAAGTAAAAGCAAACAGAAACCACATCACATTCAGCAGTACCCTTCAAATTAAAGGGGTGCTACAGACCAAGTTTTAAATCTTAGAAGAAAGGATTTCTGCTTCTCCCACCCGAATTTTGTTACTATCATTAAACAAAAAGGTGCAGACTGCATTTGCAAGGTATCTGCTTTCTCACTCAGAACACGTAAAGCTTTATGTATGCAGATCTGTACAGCCTGCAGCCCACAGCAGAGGGCCTGTCCAACTAGTTTTCTTGTATTATGTTACCTGTCCTGGCACTAGGCAGCATATTCGATACCTGGCTACCTCGAGGCCACCAGGAGGCACGTTTTCACCTCCGTTCTTCCTGAGTAAAAAAGAGTTTGCTTCAGACACCACACCCAGCATCAGCACTTACACTGTGGCTCTAAAATACACACATCCACACAGCCTGGCACATTGGCACGGATGCTCATGGACCAGGCTTCCCTTCCAGCTAACCTTCCCAGAATCAGCAGAAGGATGAAAAGTGTGCATAGCACAAGGCTGCGGTTCCATTCAAGCAAGGGGGTGAAAACAACCCTGTCTAAACCTGAACTATGTTCACGCAGGGATCATTCTGATGTGTTGGTTCACACACATGGGGTGGGAGGTGGGGGGAGTTGCTCTGAACTAAAGAGCAAAGCAGCAAGCACAGAGAAACAACTGGGTAAAAGCCTTGATGGCTTTGAGATCCCAGAGCTCCACCTGCCAACATGTTCAGTACCAATAAATAAATAAATAAATAAATACAAAAATAAAAAAAAACAATAACAAACCACTGCCCCTCCCCCCCTTTTAATTCTAGATAGTCCGAAGGTAGTTTGTGTTTGCTTGCCAGTATCCAATCTGACCAATCACATTCTCCATTCACATGATGGGAAACGGTACCAGACTGACTCAAAAGCGGAGTTGAATCACCAAAATCAACAAGAACAAAATGGCTAAACTATATAGCCAAGCCATTTTAAACACCTTTAAAATAATACAAAGGACTAATATTCTCCCCCGTTGGGAGGAACCTGGTAACTGCAGATCAAATAATTAAAGACACAACAGACAGTTCCTGACAAGTCCATACACAGTGCAGGTTGGACATGGGGACCATGGAGACATTTCATCTGCTCTAGTTGTTCAGCTAGAGCCTAAATAAGCAAGCTGAGTGTAGATACTGGCCGGCTTGGAGAAGAAAGAACCCACCCAGTAGCTTCGGCAGGTATCCAGCTATCCTCGCATACAGATATGCAAGTCCAAACTTCGGCTCTTCTCCCCTGGAGACCCCCTAAATTCTATCACTCATTTCCTATGGGATGAGAGTGCTGCCATACTGCTCCTATTAGTAAAAAGAACAATAATTACACCCTGGGGAGGAATGCTTTCCTCCTGCTCCAAGTAACTGAGGATCCGCCACATCCTCACGCTGACAGGTAGGCAACAACTGAGCTCCCTGCGTGGCTCATACCCTACTAGGAATTTCAAAGGGTGGAGAACGAGCTTCCAACATGGCTGAGGTTGGATGAGATGGGAAGCACTCCATATAGGGTGAAGTGGGAGCTGCCTACCCACCACCAGGCTGCAGACTAAAATAGCAACTTCTATCTCAAGCAGCCCCAGTCTAAAAATAGTCAGACCATTACACAGCATGGAGGGGAATGGGGAGGGGGGGCAGACTTTCACATTTTCTCCTGCAAGCAAAGAAGCTGGATGACCATGTCTGCTAGTCTCTGCCCTGCAGAAATAATTCAGGTTAAAAATAAAGTGGAATGGAAGGAAGATGGCTTAGTGGGTAAAGTCCTTGCTATGCAAGCACGAGGACCAGTTCAAGCTCCAGTATGAATGGTTCAAAAGAAGGAGGAGGAGGAGGAATAAGAGGAGGAGGAGGAGGAGGAGGAGGAGGAGGAGGAGGAGGAGAAGATGGAGGAGGAGGAGGAGGAAAAGAAGGAGGAGGAGGAGGAAAAGAAGGAGGAGGAGGAGGAAAAGGAAGAAGAGGAGAAGGAGGAGGAAGAAGAGAAGGAAGAAGAGGAGGAGGATGTAGAGAAGGAGGAGAAGAAAGAAGAGGAGGAGGAGAAGGAGGAGAAGGAGAAGGAGAAGGAAGAGAAGGAAAAGGAGGAGGAGGAAGAGGAGGAGGAGGAGGGGGAGGAGGAAAAAGGAGGAGGAGGAAAAAGGAGGAGGAAGAGGAGGAGAAGGAGAAGGAGGAAGAGGAGGAGGAGGAGGAGAGGGAGAGGGAGAGGGAGAGGGAGAGGGAGAGGAAGAGGAAGAAGAAGAAGAAGAAGAAGAAGAAGAAGAAGAAGAAGAAGAAGAAGAAGAAGAAGAAGAAGACGACTATGCTTCTTGGTAAGCTCCACTCAGTGAGATGCTCAGTCTCGAAAAATATGGGGAGGTTTGAAGAAGACACCTGTTATTAACATCTACCGGCATGCATATAATACACACATACCCCTGAACACATACACACATATCTGTGCATACAGTTGGTGAGGAGAGGAGACTCTATAGAGAAAGATACTCCTCTCTTGTGGCCTATGTACCCTGTCCTGGTGGATGGGTAAGCTGGATACTATCAACAAAGGTAAAAGCTACTATCCTGGGAGCATTTTACTGTCTGGAAGCTCAGGGAGAAAGACAGTACAGTTGTCCTGCTGGGAAATAAGAACACAAGTTTTCAATTTCTCTCAATCTGTCAAGCTGCCATCATGCCTCCTCCGCCTCTTCCAGTTTCTGAAGAAATCATTCCTGAGACCAAAATGGAAAAGCAGATGCAAAATGCAAATAAACTCCCACACCCGGAGCCTAGGCTCTCCTACCCACCTCCCAAAGGAATGAGAAAAGCTTATGTATGTATGAGAGGGGAAAAGGTCCCCATTTATGGAAATCCTCTCTGTTGAACAAGAAGCAACTTAATGGCTACTCAGTGCCCTGGGCAGAGTGGTTGTCATATGTGGGTCTCCAACCCTTTGAGACTGTGACATGATAATGTCATCTACACATATTTTAGGACTCACTCACAGCTATCCTGAAACATAGGTGGGCCATGGATTGGAGAGACACACCTACAGGGGCTCTGGCCTAGGTCTGAGTGTGGCAAGACAGTGAAGCAGGGCTTACTCACTTGGTTTTGCAATATTCTCCCTTGCCTCTGGCTTTTGGGTTATTCTTATGTGTTCTTTACCCCCTCAGAACTCCAAAACTATGGAGGGAAAGAACAGTTAGGCACTGACCTTTATACACTAGTACACTGTATCTAGACCAAAGAACTGAGTTCTCAGAGAGCAGGCCTGCAACTCTTTCAGCAGAGCTCAGAGGTGTAAGACCAAACCACACAGGTTAAGTCTCCTGGGTTCCCAACTCTCCAAGTTCAAATAATGACAGCATTACTTTCAAAGTATATTCCAACTCAGCTCATTGCTACACTTCTCAGTGCCCAACTGAAATCAAGACCAGCACGCAACCTCTCCAACCTGTGAAGCTGAAGCTTCATGACTGGCCTTGCTACCTGTCCCTATGGAGACTCTTCTTCATAGAGCATCCAAAACTGTCTATTGAAAACAGATCGGATCATGTACCTCTCAAACTATTTCTTAGCTTCCCAAAATGCTTAAGGTAGCACTTTGATGCATCCCTGACCCACAAGCCTCCAGCTGCTCCCCACAGTCAAGGTACAATCTTCCTGCCCATCTGTGCTCACGAACCTCTTTCTCACAGTTCCTTTGACCCAGGAAGGTCTAACCCACCCGAGGGGACTGACTCTTCATTTCTCCCTAGAATATTCAACTTGCTTCTCTTCTTTCAAGCTAACACATCATCTACTAAGACTTCCTACCCAAGTAGAGTCCTTACCATAACTAGTAAGAATTTGGTTCCTAAACTTAAAAAAAAAATCCATCTTTCCATGTTGTAGATTGATTTTAATGCTACCTGTGTTAATTCGGCTCCCAAAATTACATGGAAACCTGCACCTCCTCATATAAGATGCTGGGGGTGGGGGGTGGGGTCTGTGCTTCTAGTTGGCTTTGATTGGTAAATAAAGTTGTCAGTGGCCAATGGCTGAGCAGAGAGACAGAGGCGGGACTTTAGGTTACTGGACAAGGAACATAGGGGAGACCGCCATGCCAGGGAAGTAGAAGGATCAGGCTCGAGAGCTGCTGAAGAGAAAGCAGGCAATCATGTAAGAGCTGGGGAAGAGTGGTCCCAAGCCCTCTCCACAATGGGTCTAGAGCAGCAAAGATGGAATATAGATTTTAGTAAGTAATAACTCAGGAGTATTGGAGGGGAGGCATTAGCAACATGGAAGTTTGGGAGAAGCCCAGCAATTGAGCTGATTAAGGCATATTAAACATAAGGCTGCGTGTGTGCCTTTCATTCAAGAACACACAACACTGAAGTGGTAGCAAGGAACTCACCCTGTCGCTGCTGGAGATTAGAGCGGATTAATCAACGACCCCCACCTTCCCACCCTGTAATGTGAGTCTAAGAAGGTGGTCTTTACTATTTTATTTCCACTGTTAAGCATAGTGCTCATCTTTTGCTGAGGTTTAATTAATAATTCTTAAATGAGTGGATGAAAATCTCTCTGTACCCTCCCATGTACAGAGACGGTCAATTTATCTTTACTGGAGATTGCACGGGTTCCATACAGAAGAGCAACAGGCGGCCCTTGGAGCCAAAGGAGCCCTGGATCTTAGGAACAGAAAACTCAAAGGCCAAGAGGATGGTTATCCTCAGGGCCGCTTCAACATTACTGAATGCTGTAGCTTCAGCTGACCCCTCTGCACAGCACCCTGCCACCATGCCAGCTCCCTGTGAGGACCGAGCGAGAATGGCGTTTGTTCAGGCAGTCAGTCAAGGACGACACTCTCAGTGATTACTAAAGGTAGAAGGAAGAGAGAAGCCTACTTCATTCTATGGGTCAACACTCTAAGAACCGGTCCAAAGAGACAGCAGTCTTTCTAGATGCTTCAAATTCTGAAAGAGATGCTTTTCTGTGCACTCAATTTAAAATCTAATCAGTAGGGCAGTCACAGCTAGGGCTGAGGAAGAAAATTGCTTTTCCAGTTGAGAAACAGAAAGGGTTAACAACTCAGCTAGCAGCCGCAGAGATATGAAACTGGACTCCAAGGTCTGCCTCTTCCTACCTGTAGCTCTCTGGGCAAGGACTTTGTTACTTTCTAAACTTATCTGCTCTTCAGCAACTTGTAAGTTGAAAAATATGCAAGTACCCAGCCAGTAGCTGGCACAAACAGGCAGTAACTGAATGGTAACAGTTATTATCACCTCTCAGAGAGGTTGGAAAAAGGAAAGAGTGTGTGTGTATGTGTGTGTGTGTGTGCGTGTGTGTGTGTAGGCAACTGCTTAGTGTCTTCAGATTGAGAGAGATAAAGGAAGGTAGAAAATATGCATCCTAAGGTTTTTTGTTTGCCTGTTTGTGTGTGTGTGTGTGTGTGTGTGTGTGTGTGTATCTTTAACTGTTCCCTTACAGTCTTCCACATATAAATGACAGAATGGCAGGAGTCTGGAAGATGAATCAAAGCCACAGTAGTCACTGAGGTTCCACTTTGAGTGGCTCCGCAAGGTGTTCTTTTATTTAGGCAGAGCGATAAACCATTGACTAATGAACTGTTCCTCAACTGAGTAGCAGTGTATATCTATCAGGGAAAAGAACATATTAATTCAGAGACAGTGTGTGCCTCCCTATGATCTGCCCACAGGTAACTCTGGTCAAACACACCAAAATGTGTAATGGATACAAAAAGGAGGGGAAGACTATTTTCAACATTGTAATGTGTGAACCATAAAACTCAGGACTTTCCTGATACTACTTTGTATTTGCAGGCTTGTTTTCAAGTTCAAACTCATGCTTAGAAAAGCCTCCCAGACTAGGCGAAAACAGAGAAAGAGGTAATGAAGGGATTACATCAATCAAATCAAAGGAGCCTCGGGGATCACCAAGAAAGACACAACTAACATTTGTGGAGCATAATAATATATACCTACTCAAAAATTACATCCTGTGACACCCTGAAAGATAATCCCTGTGTATTCTAAATTTTGAAATGGTTAAGACTCCAAAATAGGATGAAAGTGAATTCTGTCCATCAAAAAAGATTGCTCAATCAGCTGAAGTAGTTTTTATTTTTCCATTTTAGAGCTGTCTGAATGTTGGTACAACAAACAAAAACAGACATTTTCCTTCTTTTTATAGAATTCAAAGGGATAGACTGGAAACCCAAACTCTTCGTCAAATAGGGAAGGGGTAATTTTGCAGAATATAGCTACTGTTCTCTGAAAGCAGGAAGCCCACAGACATGCAAAGGAAAGAATGAAACAAACAACCCACACGCACAGGGCATGAGGTCCACACATGTTACAGACTCTCTTAAATCCATGAGGTTCTAAACAAGAAAGGCCAAGGTTCCTTTCTGCCTTTGACATAGATACGTAGCTCTCCCCCAAGGATAGACCAGACTTTCAGCCACCAAGCAATACGCAATATTCAGAAAGCAATCTAAATCTTCAAGCTAATCTCCGCCACCCCTTACTGATAGCAAAGACCACACTCATCCAGTGCATGTTGTATTGGCTCTTTTACCCTTTGACTGGAAGAAATGAGATAAGCACTAACAAGGGGAAAGAAGAGAAAGGAAAACTAAGGGGTGCGTTTACATTTTAAAATAAAAAGAAAGACCACTTCAAACTCAATAGCCTACTGGGAAGATTTCACGCATTTCTGCCTTTGAATTCTCTGGTACATCACACTAAGCTAGCCTGTTGGTGGTGAAGGGCTGAAAATGGGTATGGCTGCCAGGCTCAGACAAAGGGATGGAGAGTTACCAGAAACCCGACGGGTGAACTTTCACCCACTTAGAAACATTAAAGCCCAGAGCTTTCTTTGGGAACAATAGGTCTGCAACCTTCATCATTCCTTCCACTCAGGTATCCACCCGGAAAGAAGGGCCATCGTGTCCCTTCAGGCGACCCTACCACCTCTTCACTGTAGAGCAGGCAACCCACCTTCCGGTGGAGCCTCCTCCGTTTTTTCACCCCATTTCCTAAAACCAGGTTTCTCAAAGGCACGTCTCTCCAACTGAATGCTAACTTGCCTCTGCCAAAAAAAACAAAAACCAAAAAACCCCAAAAAACCCAAGTAGCACACCGTTGGGTCCTTAACCTGAGAACCCCCCCAGCCCCGGACACCATCGGGCAAAGCTGGACACAGGGAAGCGTGCCTCAGTTTCCCTGTCTCTTGGGCCAGCCACCGACAAAACACCCCAAAAGGCTCAGGCCAGACTCTCTACCCCGCTGTAAGACAAACATCGCCACAGGGTGCTGTAGCACCCCCAAGAGACCTCACGTTGGGGCTGGTTTGTACAAGGGTGGAGGCCCTGAGTGGAGTCGCGGGGAGGGGGCTCTGAAGCTGGAGGAGTCTGCTAGGATCTAGCAGCAGCCTTGTCAGGATGAGGATCGCAAGGGCCAAGCTGGGTTTGCAAGCGGATGAAGCAGACCCGGGGTCCCAGGGCACAGATCCCAAGCTCCCCGGAGGAAGGGGATCACAGGACTGGGAGTCTTTCCCGGAGCCGGTCCATGTCAGGGCTCGGGATCCCCAGGGACAGAGCACGCGCCCGGCAGAGCTCTCACCGCTGGAATCGATTCCTGAACCGCATTGATCCTCCGCTCCACCGCGGGGGCCGGGAGCTCCGTCTCTTCTGCACCGGCGGCAGGGCGCGCCGGCCTCATGGGCTTGAGCTGCTCCCGAGGCCGCCGGCGTGCCAGGCGGGAGCCACGCAACTGGGCAGGGCCGGAGTGGGCCACGCCGGGGGTCGGTCAGCACAGGGCCCGGGCCAGAGCAGGCGCCTGGGGGCGGGAGGGAGGCCGCTTAAACGGCCCGGGCGCCTCCCGCCTCCCGCCTCCCTGGCTCCTCCGCCCCCGGGTGCCTGCGCCCCGCCCCGGAGCCCGGCTCCGCCCCTGCTCGCTCCTCTCGCTGCGTGCGCCTGTAGCCACCCTGCGCGTCACCGCGCCCAGTGGCCAATCAGTGTCCGGAGCGGCGCACGGCTCCGCTGCCATTCATTTTCCTTGAAGCTCGGGAGGCGGGGCGGGACCTCCGAGCTGGGGGCGTGGTTAGGCGAAAGGGGAAGGGCGCTGGGAAGGCGGTGCTCTGCATTAAAGCTTCGAGCGTGTGAGCTGTACCAGAGAGGAAGAAACGACGGTGTATAGGAGATGGCCCACGATCTTAAAAGCAGCTGTGCCGGAAGTGGCAGGGAGCGAGGACCTATCTCTGCCTTCTAATCTTGGCCCCAGGTCGTTTATTCAGCCTTCATTCATTTCTGCATCCTTCCTTTCATTTATTTCTTCACCATTTATGCTTCTGTAAAGACAGATTATTAACATGTCTGTCCTATAAAGAAGAGATTGGAGTTTCTCCAGGGGGATTCTTCTGGAGAGATCTTTTTATATCATCCATTTTCTTTTCTTTTTTTCTAACCCAAGAAATTTCCAAGGCAAGAATAGACTTGAATCGGCCCCTTTTGCCAAACCTTTATAAAGCTAAAAGGACTTGCCAGAAGAGCAGACCATAGGGCAGAAAAAGGATAAAAGGTACTGAATGCACTCAGAGAAATACTCGAAAGGGAGAAGTAATTGACATGTGCAGACCTGACAGGACCACTCCTGAAATCTAGGTGCGCTCACCTCCAGGAAGCCTGTCCACACCCACCCCTCACTCCTCAAACGTCATCTTGAGGGACTTAGGGTCAACTTCATAGGAATATTTACTCTACTTGAAATGAATGAAATGTGTCAGGAGACTGGGAAGTGGTTTCATCCACAATTCTAGTCTCTTTAAGTGCCCAGGGGTTCTTTCCACAACAATTGCTTTGATCTTGGCAGGAATCCTTAGGATCAAAATCATGTTACTCATTTCACAGGAATGAAGGCCAAGGCTTTGAAAGGTGACACTATTTACAATAGCCAAGTTATTGTATTAGCCTAGGTGCCTACCAAAGGATGTAGAAAAAAAATGTGGTATGTGTGTGTATAGAGACAGCATGGAAAATTAGTCAGCCATAAGGAAAAAGTGAAGATGCAGTAGTGATCTTTCCATTCCAAAGATGCACATTTGGTTTAAAAGGACAATCATCTTTAATAGAGGAGGACTGGGTCGTTCTTCAGTCACAGGTACAAATAACTACGTTTCTTGGAAAGGACTTCCACACAGGCTCAGGAGGAACAAAATCATGTCCTCAGCAGGGAAATGGATGGAACTAAGTATCATCAGATGAAGTGATATGATGAGTCTGGATATTTATTTAAAAATAAACCAGACCCAGAAATACAAATATTAAATGTTTTCTCTCATATGCTAAATGTAGAGAAAGGAAAAAAAGTCATCAGTGTAAAAGGGGATCAGGAGGATTTAAAAAGGGGATGAAACTGTTCAAAGTATGCAATAGGCATGTGTTCTATTTTCATGTCTGTTGCTGTGCTAAAATATCCTTACAAAAGAAAGCAACTATGGGAGAAGAAAGGAGTTTATTTGGCTTACAGTTCCAAGTTATAGGCAGCAGTATGGGGGAATCCAGATAAGAACTTCAAACAGCTGGCCACATCACATCCACAGTCAAGAGGAGGGCAATACATGAATGCATACATCTTCACTTACTTGTTTGCTTTTGCTGGGCTCGGGTTCTCTTTTCATACAGTTCAGGGTCCCCTGCCTAGGGAATGGTGCTGCCCAAAGTGGGCTGGGTCTTCCCATGTCAAGTAACTTCATTGAGACAATCCTCCACAAGCTAACCCAAAACAATCAGTTTCTTATTAAGAATCTCTTCCCAGATGATTCTAGGCTGTGTCAAGTTGAAAAGACTAGCCGTCATGGCATGTGTGAAAATGTCACAGCGAAACCTATTGTTTTGTACAATGAGCATGTGCTGAGTGAAAAAGAAACTTGCCTGATGCAAAACAGATTCCTATATAGCTTCCTCTAACAGGAAGCCCCAGATACCCTTCAGTATGTCAACTGCCTCTCTGTAAGTTTTAAAATAGCACAATTCTTAAAGCATGAACTTGACTCCTTTTGCACTCACAGTAAAGCCCGACAATAAGCATAGCTGGGAAAATCTACCAACTGACTACATGACACTCCCCTTCTCAATGATCAGTGGTTCAAGGAATGGTAACAAAGGAAGTAACTAAAAAAAAAAAGATAGTTGAGAATTAACCACGTGAAATGATGACCTAAGGGATAGGAACAAGGAACCATAATCACAACAAATGTACCACTTCCTTAGAGAGGCTATATGTGAGAGGGCATGAGAAGTCTCTGTACTTTCCTTTTGCTCTTGCTCTGAACCTCAAGCTGTTCAAATGATTTGCTTTTTTTTAAGAGAGAGAGAGGGAGAGAGAGAGAGAGAGAGAGAGAGAGAGAGAGAGAGAGAGAGAGAATGCTGATGCATACTTCAATGTGAACAGAACTTTATGTGAAATGAAAGAAACCAATCACAAAGAAAGGGTCACGTATTATATAGCTGTAGAGCCAGCCAGCCTAGGTTCAGTGGGACACCCCATTTCAAAAGGTAAGGTGATATAGGGAGACACCTGACATTCTCTGGCCTTCATACAGATGTGTCCACATGAACACATGCACCTACTTGTATGCATACCTACATAATCATGTACAGGCAACATCTACACGGGAAATAAGATGCCCCTTCAAATCCTTTTAATGAGGAGAAATCCCAAGTGCACTTCCAGAAAGGAAGTCCTGGCTTCAGTTTAGAAACTGAGATTGCAATGGTGGGGGCACAAGAGAATGGAAAGGTTTTGTTTTGTGTTTGTTTCTTTTGGTTATTGGTTGTGCGTTTTGTTTGTTCTGCATTAACAGAACGTAACATTCTTCTTAGGTTTGGGAACATAGAGCTTGCTATAAAACTGCAGACACATTCGCAAAAAAACAACCTGTTCCTTACAGGAAGGGATTTGTCACTGCGTAGACACCAGATGCTGAAGCAGCTTTTGGGAGAACACCTGCTCTGCTGACTGAGGTACACAGGCTCCCCAGACAGGATGCTGATGAGACTAGCAAGCACCTGGGCCCTGTTTCCCTGACAGTGATGGACCAGTCAGAACAGAATAGACTCACTCAAACTTTGACTTGAGATGCCCTGGGAGGATTAAATGAACTTTTCACTCAGATGTGTTACTGGGTTTTGATGTATCCCTACAAATGACAGAGGAAGGCAACTGTGGGAACTGAAGCCTCCCAACCTTTCCCCTTTCTTTGGAGGAGGAACGCTGCCTTCTCCTGTTCTTCTTCCCACATTCCCTAAACTGGGAAGATCTTTTGTCTCTGGATGCTCAGTCCATAGGCTCTCCTGAAGTAAGCAACTGGAGAAAACAATGGGAAATAAAATAATCATGGTCTGGACAAAGGGGAGGGAGGTACACAAATACTAATTGTTATTGTCAACTTGACTGGATTTATAGTCACTGAGCAGGCACATCTCTGTTGTGTCTTTGGTGAAACTTCTGGGAAGGTTTAACAAAGAAAGACCCTCTCTGAATGTGCCTGGAACCATCCTGTGTGCAGGATCCCAGGTTGAATAAGAAGTGGGGGATGAGAAAGAAAGTTGAGCATCAATGTTCATTTCTCTGTTTAGGACGGTTGACAGTATGACAGCCACTTCTTAGTCCTGTCTTCATTCATTCCTCTTCGTGATGGACTGTATCCTTCAAACCATGAGCTAAAGAAAACCTTCCTCCCATAGCCTTTTAGTTATTTGCTTGTAGTAATGAAAATCAGTAACTAATATGGGTACACAGTCTATATTGATCTTTCTGGTGAGGATGAGTAAAAGAAAAAGTAAAAGTCTATAATCCAGAGGATGGATGTTGTTTAAGGTGTTTTAAGAGTTAGAGAGTGATTCAGCAAGTACAAGGGTTTCTAGACACATAGCAAAGGAGAATGACTAGAGCAGAAAAAAAAAGATTGTGAGAAGTTTTCCTAAGATTATTTCCCCCAAAAAATAAAATTTAGAGGCCTATTTAAAAAATAGTATCACTGACTGTTAGTATTTGAAAATGTTTCCCTTAGAGACTGGATCACATGGAACAACTGGGTAAAGTCGCTACCCAGATTAACTTTTTTGACAATGACTTTTGCATGCCTTGTTTCATTTTTTCCCCTTAAAACCTTCCTGCCAAAGCCAGGCAAAGTGTCATGAGCCTGCGTGCCTGTATTATCAGTTACTCAGAGGCTGAAGCAGGAAGATCGTTTGTTTAAACCAAGAAGTTAGACATCAACGTAGGCAACATAGTAAGACCTCATCCCCACAAAACAACAATGATCCTGCAAGAATATTTTGTGTCTATTTTACAAATGAAGAAGTGAAAGCATCAAGGGGACTTGGTGTGTTGGTTAGATGTGTAAACATCAGTGAAAGGTTAAGAGTGCAGGCTTTCTGGTCCCAAGTCCCTTGTTTGTTCCTTTAACCTTCATCACGGTGTATGTGCTATGCTTCCCTGCATGAACCAGTGTTCCACTCTCAACAGAAAGTCAGTATGTGACATTGTACTGGCTGCAGTGTTTGCCTTCCCCAACTCAACTGCACTGGATCCATGTAGGCTACTCCGACAGTCTCATGATGTTCTTTCTGAATATAGAAAGTTTGGGAGAGATGAGGCTCTCCTTTCAGGGGAAGGCATGGCAGGGACAGATTTTGTTAAGCAAAGAAATGCTGCTCAAACAAAGCAGAAGTTAATGGCAGTGTCTGTCTCCATGTGGTTCTAAAGCCACAAGAATATACCCAAGACTTTCACACTGGTTTGTATAAAACCATTGCCTGAGCTTTTTTTTTTAATTCCAGCTGAAAGAACAAAAAATAATTTTTTGAATAAAAATAAAT